GGGCTGCCCTTGAGCTTTGTTCCGGATGCCTCAGCTTGTCTTCGCAGGCATTTCATTTCAGCCTGGGCAGTTGAGCCCAGCTGCATCATAAATCTTTGAAAAATCTTCAAAGTCCTTGTATCACATCCTAATATTTCACATTATTAAAAGTTATTTTTTTGTGTGAGTTTAGTTTTTTAAATGTTCGTTTTTAAAGCTCCTGCAACACTATGAGCTATTGGTCATTAGGAAATGTATTTGTGTGTTTCCTAGACAACTAGAATCATGTTTTATATGAAAGAATATTTTTCAAACGTGTATGAATATATTCTAAACTACACAGGGGTAAGTTTTTGTTTTAGGTTATTTTGGGCAAGAAAGTAGTCTGATGGATATCCTGGTATTTGTATAATAACCAATTAGAGGTCAGAGGAGTGATTTTTGGGGTTTTCTCTACCATCTCTTCACCACAGAGAAGGTATAGGTTAGTAAAGGGCAGAATTGGGATTTGGATCTACTTCTGAAGGATACTAAAACCTCTAATCTTTGTTTGATCAAGTGGATATGGTGAATATCTTCATTATTTTATCAAATTTGATACTTGTTATCCCTAAAACTATTATTCATTTTCCAGAATGGTCCAAAATTATTATCCACTTTCCAGAATTCCCTAAAAGTAAATTAAGAGAGCTATGGAAAGCTGTTGAATAAACCAGGAAGAATGGTAAGCTCTTTGAAGCTACTCTTGTTATTCATCTGAAATTACACATATTTTCATGTACTCTTTACTTTGTTTTCATTGTTGCAGATGCAAAATATGACATTGGAAAACCAGGAAATAGAACCTTTGCTTTGGTTTAAAAATGAGGTGCCTCCCAAAAGCTCATATGTGAGACAACTCAAGAATGTTCAGAGCTGTGACATATTCAGTGAATCAATTCACTGATGTGGAGTAACTCCATGATAAATGTAGACAAGTCAGATGTGGCCCTTTCACCACGATGCTCTGCCTCACATTTAGCCTAGAGCTATGGAGTCAGAAGTCTAGGAATTGAACCTCTGAAACTATGAGCCAAAATAAACTTTTGCTCCTCTGTATTGGTCTCATTAGGTCTTTTGGTCATAGTGACGCAAAGCTGACTAAAACAACCTTGTATATGGTGTTCGTAATTCTGATAATCAGTAAAGGTGTGGTTGAAAAATCTTCCTAAAACATCAAAGCCCAGGACTCTTCTCTTTATCCTTTCCATCATCCGATCCAAGGTAGGTGTCTTTTTTTAAAATTCTTTTTTTTTAACAAACTATTTCCTATTCCACATAATGATGACAAACATTCTAGAAATAAATAGAGAGTTACAAAACCCTTATTTATGTAACAGAAATTTTAACTAATGAAAGAGGTTAAATAAAATGCTTATTTACTTATTTTTTTGTTTTCTCAAAAAAGATCTAAAATAATATCAAA